CGGCCGTAAAAGTGTTCTTATTTCTCCATATCCTCTCCAGCATCTGTTGTCTCCAAATTTTTTAATGATCGCCATTGTAACAGGCATGAGATGATATCTGAATGTGATTTTGATTTGCATTTCTCTAATGACCAGTGATGATGAGCATTTTTTCATGTTTGTTGGCCTCATACATGTCCTCTTTTGAAAAGTGTCTGTTTGTGTCCTTCGCCCACTTTTGAATGGGTTTGTTTGTTTTTTTCTTGTAAATCTGTTTTAGTTCTTTGTAGATTCTGGAATTAGTCCTTTGTCAGATAGGTAGATTGCAAAAATTTTTTTCCCATTCTCTTGGTTGCCAGTTCATTCTAATGATTGTGTCTTTTGCTGTACTGAAGCCCTGGAGTTGCATTAGATCCTATTTGTCTATTTTGGCTTTTGCTGCCATTGCTTTTGATGTTTTAGTGATAAAGTCCTTGCCTATGCCTATGCCCTGGATGATTTTGCCTAGGTTTTCTTCTAGGATTTTTATGGTGTTAGGTCTTATATTTAAGTTTTTAAATCATCTGGAGTTAATTTTAGTGTAAGGTGTTAGGAAGGGGTCCAGTTTCTATTTTCTGCACATGGCTAGCCAATTATCCCAACATCATTTATTAAACAGGGAATCCTTTTTCCATTGCTTGTTTTTGTCAGGTTTGTCAAAGATCAGATGGTTGTAAATGTGTGGCATTGCTTTGCAGGTCTCTATTCTGTTCCATTCGTCTATATCTCTGTTTTGGAACCAGTAGCAAGCTGTTTTGATTACCATAGTCTTGTAGTATAGTTTGAAGCAGGTAGCATGATGCCTCGAGCTTTGTTCTTTTTGCTTAGGTTTGTCTTGGCTATGCAGGCTCTCTTTTGGTTCCATATGAATTTTAAGGTTTTTTTTTCCAGTTCTGTGAAAAGGGTCATAGGTAGCTTGATGGAGATAGTGTTGAATCTGTAAATGACTTTGGGTAGTATGGCCATTTTCACAATATTGATTCTTCCTATCCATAAGCATGGAATATTTTTCGATCTGTTTGTGTCCTATCTTATTTCCTTGAGCAGTGGTTTGTAGTTCTCCTTGAAGAGGTCCTTTACATTCTTTGTTAGTTGGATTCCTAGGTCTTTTATTCTCTTTGTAGCAATTGTGAATGGCAGTTCATTCTTGGTTTGGCTGCCTTTTTCCAGAGATGCCCTTCCCAGCAAGGTGGGAGTCTAGCCGCAGTCTGCCAGCAGAGACGTTACTGAGCTGGTATGGGCTCTGCCCAGCTGTTTTGTGAACTTCCTGTTAGAGCTGCCTAAGTAATGGTGGTCCGCCTCAGTAGTGGCACACTGCTCAGTAATGGTGGACTGCCTCAGTAATGGTGGACTGCCTCAGTAAAGGCAGATTGCCTCGGTAAAGGCGGACTGCCTCGGTAATGGCGGACTGCCTCGGTAATGGCGGACTGCCTCGGTAGTGGCGGACTGCCTCGGTAGTGGCGGACTGCCTCGGTAGCGGTGGACTGCTTCGGTAGCGGTGGTCCGCCTCAGTAATGGCACACTGCTCAGTAATGGCGGACTGCCTCGGTAGTGGCGGACTGCCTCGGCAGTGGCGGACTGCTTCAGTAAAGGCGGACTGCCTCGGTAATGGCGGACTGCCTCGGTAAAGGTGGACTGCCTCGGTAATGGTGGACTGCCTCAGTAAAGGCAGATTGCCTCGGTAATGGCGGACTGCCTCGGTAGCGGCGGACTGCCTCGGTAGCGGCGGACTGCCTCGGTAGCGGCGGACTGCCTCGGTAGCGGCGGACTGCCTCGGTAATGGTGGACTGCCTCGGTAATGGCTGACACCAGAGCTGGACTGTCCCAGGTCCAGCGGCACTTGCGGTGCAACTCTCAGTCCACAGTGTTTCAGATTGCTGGTCTTTGTGGGGGGTGGGACCCACTGAGCCAGATCACCTGGCTCCGTGTTTCAGCCCCCCCCTTGTTTTTTTTCAGTTGAATGGGTGTCTCTGTATCCCAGGCATTCCAGGCACCTGTTCAAGTGGCTGCCTGGATGTGTATGAGTGTTTTGAGTAGAGATCCACAGTGCTGGCTGAAACAGCCATGCTGGAAGCTCGTGGTGCTTTTCAGCCTGGGAATCTCCTGGTCTGTGGCAGTAAGAACTTGTTTGGAAATGCAGTGATCACTCACCTTCTGTGCTCTTCTTGCTGGGGAACTGCACTCCAGAGCTGTTTCTATTCAGCCATCTTGGATGACCTCCAGGAAACATGACTTTTCTGGCACAGTTTCTTAGCTTAAAATGAATTATTCTAAGGGGTAGGAGATCTTAAGCCAATATAGATGCAAGGTAAGCCTCAGAGACTATTGAAAAGTTAAAAATGAAAAAATTGGCTCACAGTATTTTATGTAGTTGAATCATTGGCATATATATTTCTTGAATGGTTTACCTTTTTAATAACTAATACACTGTTAATTATAGCCACCATGTTGTATTATACACCTCTTTAAGTATTCCTCCTGTGTAGCTAAAATTTTGTATCCTTGAATGGTTTGCCTCTAATTCTTTTTTTTTTTTTTTTTTTTTTTTTTGACAGGGTCTCACTCTGTTGCCCAGGCTGGAGTGCAGTGGTGAGATCTCAGCTTACTGCAACCTCTGCCTCTCAGTTCAAGTGATTCTCATGTCTCAGCCTCCCCAGTAGCTGGGGTGACAGGCATGTACCACAATGCCCAGTTAATTTTTATATTTTAAGTAGAGACAGGATTTCATCATGATGGCTAGGCTGGTCTTGAACTCTAGACCTCAAGTGATCTGCCTGCCCAGGGCCCCCAGTGTGCTGGGATTACAGATACCAGCCACCACACCTGGCCAGTTTACCTCTAATTCTGACATCTATTATAATTGTCATTACCAAAATATGGATATATTCATGCTAATTCTTTATTCACTAGCAATCCATTTTTGTACTAAGTACTGAGCACGTAGGTAAGGAATCAGCTAAACATGATCCAAGGCTGTTTTATGTCAATTTCCTGAAAGATAGATGTAAAGAAATAGTGCCACATTACTTGGTAATTATGTTAAATGAAGTTGCTATGCAAATTAATTTGCCAGATGTCTGAAGCCAAACCTTTTTAACTTAACAAATTTTGAGGTGACTCTTCCCAAATTATGTAAAGTATTTCTCTGCTTCATCAGGAAGCTAATGATCTAGTGTTTCAGTGGTAAGTAATCATTTTGGACAGTTATTTCATTGTCCTGTAAAACAGTGGCAGCCACCTTGCTCTTGTAGGATAGAGCTGTGCATAAGTACTTACTGGTGACATAAGGCTATGCTTTTGGTGTTTTCATACTCTCATGAATTGTTGTATCTCATACTTTCCCATTAATATCTGCTAATCATAGATTTTCCATCTATTTTTAATTTGATCTTTCTACTTTCTAGTCTGTGAACTGACACATCAGCTCAGATATTAAGCTGATGTATCTGTTGAGTTCTTAACATGTATAAGGCACTATTTAAAGTGTTAAAATGTGCCTGTGCATTTAATCCTACCCACATCTGGGATAGGTAAGCACTATTATTATCTGCATTTTCAGACAAGAAAACTGAAGCACAGAGAGATTAAGTAACTTGCCCCAAATCACATAGCAGTTCATGATCTTAATCATTATACTATACTGTTGAAGTAGCATCATTTATCTGGAGTAATATCCAAGGTTTGTTATCTCACACCAAGGAAATCAAGGATGTGAACACACAAGGAATGTGGTTAAGAGTGGAGGTTGAATAGGCAAAAGAAAGAGAAGAGCTCTCTCCTGCAGAGAGGGTTTCTGAGTAGGTTCTCTGGTCCACAGCAAAATGCAGTGGGTTTTATCGATGTGCTTGAGGAGTCGACGTCTGATTTACACAGGGCATGAAAGATTGGTCAGAGCAGGTGTGCCATTTCACACATAGTGCGTGGAAATCTGACCACTCCTACCCCAATCTTTTATTATGCAGGTAGGTTTTCCGCCTGGCTGGCACATAGACAGTTTCTTTACTGTATGTGTAGTGACAAAGAAAAGGGAAGGTGGAGCCTCCATGTTGAACATCCCTGGCTCCCAGTTAGCCCCTTTCCACTGGGATAGCTGCTGGCATTCACCTGTGCAAGCTTCCAGCTTGCTTTTCTATGTCTACAGCTTGATTTTTCAGACTGTTTTTTTGTTAGAAAAGAAATGATTTTGAAGCTGCTTTTTGTTAAAAGGGAAATTCCATTGAGGACTCTTTTACCCTCACTATTTGCCTAAATAATTTCTATCTCCTGTATCACTGTGTCATATAAAGATGCTTATTAAAATGACATATAAACCTAAGAGTGAATGAGCTCTCATAGAATACTTGAGTGGAACTCTGAAAAACATTTACATTTTGGTGAGTTGTCTTTGTGATGTCTATTTTCATTTCCCGCAGAATGTATGTGTATGTGTGTGTTTGTGCAAATTTCTAGCATTTTATCAAATAGGTAAGGTGGCCAGAGAAGCGACTTTACCAAACCAGTGTGAGGTATGATTAAATCATAAACAGGTGTGCCATATCTGGCCTAATGCTTTTTTGTGTGTTTGAAGTTTCACTGGAACCTAGCCACATCCATTCATTCACTAACCATCTATGGGCTCTTCCCTGTGACAGTGGCAGGGATGAGTAATTGCCATAGAGACCACATGGCCCACAAAGCCTAAAATATTTACTCTCTGGCCCTCTAAGCAAAAAGAGTTTGTCAACCCCTGCTCTAGAGGTTGATTTTATACCAGTGTGTCTCAATTTCAGGTTTTGAGAAAGACAAAAGAAGGGGTTGGCTCATCAGAATCCACTGGATACTTATCAAAAGCTACACACCTCCCTCTCTCCTCCTTCTCATAGGCTTTCCCTATTGAGAATCATTTCCTTAAACTTTATGATCGAAATAGTCTGATTGTATTAACTGTTATTGGCCTTCTGTAACATATCTAAAGTAATGTTGAGTGTGTATTTCTTTTACAGGGTTGTGGGAAGAAAATGTATTCCTTTTTGAGAGGAACCAAACAACTGCAGGTGCTGAGGTTTCTGGGAATCTCCATTGGAGTGACACAAATCCTGGCCATGATTCTCACCATTACTCTGCTCTGGGCTCTGTACTATGATAGAAGGGAGCCTGGAACGGACCAAATGATGTCCTTGAAGAATGACACCTCTCAGCACCTGTCATGTCCCTCAGTAGAACTGTTGAAACCAAGCTTGTCTAGAATCTTTGAACACACCTCCATGGCAAACAGCTTTAATACACGCTTTGAGATGGAGGAGTTATAAAAACAAAATGTCACGGAAGAAAACCACAAACTTGTTTTATTGGACTTGTGAATTTTTGAGTGCATACTATCTGTTTCAGAAATATGTAGAAATAAAAATGTTGCCATAAAAGAATACCTAAGCATATAATATTCTGTGCTTTAAAATGAAGAGGGAAGAGTTTCGTGTCGTAAGTCACCACCTGGACAATAACTCTTTAATGCTGAAGACAGATCTAATACCCACTGTGTAGCCTGTGTATGACTTTAGCTAACACAGTTATGTTTTGAGGCGGCATGGTTTGATTAGCATTTCTGCATCCATGCAAACGAGTCACATATGGTGGGACTGGAGCTACAGTATATACTTCTACCAGCTAGTATATAAAGTACTAATTAAGTGCTAACATAGGAAGTTAGAAAATACTAGTGGCTTTCATTACTCAGCAAGCTATTCTTTTGATGCTAGATAAATTATGTCAGAAAAGTTTCAAGATTGGTGACTACCTAAATATGGTTTTTGCTGGTTAGTAAAATATTCTTACCAATTAAAAGAGCAAACTAACGCATTGTCTTAAGGTGATCAGGGATCTAGTTGTATATAAGTATGCGTTAAGTCTGTATAATTCAGTAGATTTCAGTTCCGATAATGTTAAGAATAACCATTATGAAAAGAAAAATTTGTCCTGTATAGCATCATTATTTTTTGCCTTTCCTGTTAATAGAGCTTTAATATTCTGTCCTGGGCTTATATTACATATATAACTGTTAATTTAAATACTTAACCACTAATTTTGAAAATTACCAGTGTGATACATAGGAATCATTCAGAATGTAGTGTGGTTTTTAGGAAGTATTGACAAGAAAATTTGCACATAACTTGGTTGATTCAGAAAGGACTTGTATGCTGTTTTTCTCCCAAATGAAGACTCTTTTTGACACTAAACACTTTTTTAAAAAGCTTATCTTTGCCTTCTCCAAACAAGAAGCAATAGTCTCTAAGTCAATATAGTTATACAGAGAATAGTTTTCTTTTTCTCCAGAAAATGCTTATGAGAATCATTAAAACCTGTTACAATTTATCTAAAGATTCTTTGTTTTATTTCACTGATTAAAATACTTTGGTGAAATTACACAGATTATTAAATTTTTTACAAGAGTATAGTATATTTATTTGAAATGGGAAAAGTGCATTTTACTGTATTTCGTGTATTTTATTTCTCAGAATATGGAAAAAATTAAAATGTGTCAATAAATATTTTCTAGAGAGTAATGATTTGTCTGTGCCTATTTTTTAATACATTACCAGCACTTATGCGACTTGAGAAGATTTTCAAGAGGAGAAAAACATGAGAAAGAATGATTGAATAAAGCTATTAATATTAATTTCCAAACTCTGAACAGACCTATAAGAGTATGTGTTTTCATTGAGAAGAGTCCAAAAGGTGCCCATTTATTTTTACTTTTGCTTTTTAGCTGAATGTTAAATAATATACTTGTTTGAGATAATATGCCCATTTATGTTAATGTATCTTTTCAATCGTTGCATATCACAGTTTTATAACACAAATATGCCCATCTGTGTTAATTCATCATTTCAATGTTTGTGTATCAGTTTTATAACTATTATTAATTTTTAAGAGAATATGAGTCTTTAAATTTTAAATTCTCTTCAAATGAGTCAAGGGATACAATACTTGGAATTAATTGCCCTCTTTAAAATCTTCATAGATTGAAATGGAAACTGAGTACATTTCTTGTTCAATCAGAGCCAAAAGCTTCCCTTTTAATAACTTCAACACCCCAAATCCCTGTAATTTCACCTCAAATACCCAAGTAACTGATAGCCATGAGTTTTGTTTGAATTATTTGTTTAATGGTCAAATTTAGCTGCTGCTTTTTTGATGTGTCTCATAGTTGAAGCAAGAGCAAGAATATGATATATTGGGTTCAGTAAAAGTCCTCAAATTATAAGAGTTGATTTCTACATTTTTAGACTTAGGATATTTTGATGTATTACCTGATTTACGACCCTCTAGGATGGTCAATATAAATTTAGACAATAACTTTATATATAATACACTTGCTTAATGGGAAGGAATGACATTTAGAGCAATGGCCCACAAAAGCCTCTTATGGCAGCAGTGCACGTGGAATAATAAAAGTGCATGTGAGTTAAAAAGTGTATTTAATGTGGTAGAGCTGAGGGAATTCACCGTTTGGGTACATTACAAACAAAACTGTTAACTGTTTCTTTGGGAATTTTTAAACGTGCTCTCTGGTAAAAAGTAAAATCAAATCACCATTTTTCAGAAGTAGAGTGCCCTGGAGACTCAAAGATGGCAACAAGAGATGACGTCTGTCCTTAAACACTGTGGAATCTGGGTTAGAGACACTCGTGCTAACCACAAGAAAAATAAATAAAGGAATATGCAGTGAGTGGGGTCCTTCTTAAGAATAGGAGATGGAGTAGAGTGGAATTAAGGCAACTATGCCCAGGAGATGGCCTTCAAGCTGTATGAGAAGGAGCAGTGGAGACTAGCTGGCTCATGGAAAACGTTCCATGAGCCATGAGTTTGAGGTCAAAAGTATACATTATTTTGGAGCAATGACCAATAGTTCAATGTGGTTAGACAGATCACACAGGATGCTTGAAGAGACACTGTGGGAGAGGAAATGAATGAAATTTGGTTTGGGTACTTTGCTCGGTAGGCTAAAGTCAAGTCACTGAAGTGATTTCAGAAAGAGAAATGATAAATATTTCATTAATTTAACTGGACTAGCCAAGTGACAAAGAAGGGGCCATGAGACAGATATACTTATTAGGCAATTCCTGGGGGGCAGGTGGGCAACCATTGACCACAGTCTAGCTAAATGGAGTGCTCAAGAGTTGTCCACACTGCAGGCCCCAGCTAGAGACTGGAGAGATTGCTGTTGCTGTGGTCCTGGAGAGGGATAGACATCCTTACCAGGACAATGGAAGTCAAAAAACAGAGTGCATAAAACAGATTACAACAGGGTGAATCCACGAAACTTGGCAGTAGATAGACCTCGGGTAGTGTGGGACAAGAAATAAAAGAATGGAAATTTCTGGATTTTGTGCCTGGTAAATTGGCAATGGCATTATACTCAATGGAAGACTGGAGGGGAATGGGTATGAGAGGGTAATTAATTTGGTCTGAGACACACTGAGTTGGAGATGCCTGCAGGTCATGCAGATGGAGATGTCTACAGGCAGCTGTAAATTTCAGTCTGGAGCTCAGGAGAATTCACTGTCAAGCCTGAGACTTTTTATGCATTGCTTTCCCATCTCAGGAAGCCTGACAGAAAGTGGGCTGGGAACCAAATCTTATATGAGGAGAATCTTAAATAGATTGCCACAGAACCTTCCTTTTGTCTGAACTCCCACTCCTGTGGATGAGTCAAGAGAGGTAAGAAAACAAGAAATGACTATACTACTGAATCTTCTCCGGCAAAGGAGCTGCCGCCTTTTTAAAACCACTGCCAAGTGCAACCCCCTTCCTATCACCATCCTGAGATTTAGAAGTAGGTTGGTCTCCCCTCTTAACTGAGTTCTCATTTCCTCACATCTTAGAATCATATACAGGAGAATCTTTGATATCATCCTGATCTTGAATGCTTTTCTTTTTCTATTTGAATGTGTTAATTGCAACCATTCTTTCTCATACTTTCGGGGGTGCGTACTAGGTACCATGCACATGTAGGAGGTGCTTTACACTTACTTTTTCTGTTCTTCACAACTCTTTTGCAATTCGCAGGCACCATTAGCCCCGTTTTATTTTACCAATGAAGAAGAGGGACTCCAAGAGACTGAATAAATTTACTTAGCTAATATGTGACAGAGCTTACTTTCACTCTGTCCAGTTTGTGACGTGATATCTTCACCAACCTGTGGTGAAGCTCAGCTGATTCTTTACATAGAAAAGCCAAATTCTCCTACAGGTGATTCCATATCACCAGGTCTAATCAGTCTCCAGATTCTACTACTTCTTCTTTCAAAATGATGCCCTTGTCTATCTCACTTCTTTCTTATTATTTCCGCAGAACAAGTGTAAATTATCTAAAGCTTTGATGGAAGCCATAAAATGTTCTCTCTTTTCACCTCGTCTCCTCCCATTGCTCTATCTTGTACACACACATACACACAAAGGCAAATTAAGTTCTTTATGGAGATTTTATATGTATATATATATACACACATACACACATATATACACTATATATACATATATATATATACACACACATATACACACACATACACACACACATATATATATATATATATCCAATATATGTACACCTTTAAAGTACACTGTTAGTTTTGGCAACTATATATACCCATAGAACTGCAACCACAACCAAGATCCAGAACATTTTCATCGTGTCAAAACATTTCCTCTTGCCCATCTGTGATAAATCCTGCAGTCCCCACTCCTAGCCCCAGGCAACACTGATCTGCCAAACGTCACTCAAATTAATTCTTGTGAAACTTTATTCTTATCTTGCTGCTTCCTTACTCAAGCACTTCCAGAGGCCCCTTGTTGTAAGAAAGGCAGAGCTTCCCAGCTCATTTGTGTATTATGTTATTTATACAGCGTGTTAGGATACATGAAGCTCAGCGGTCACCCTAGGTTTTGCCTGGCTACCATGAGAACTAGGAGGAAGCAACAAATAGCTCAATTTGAAAGTTTGGCTGCTACACTAGACATCTCAAAATACAGCGGCTTAAACAAAATAGAAGTGAAATTTTAGTTCATAAAATGCATATGTGAGTAGCCCCAAGTATGGCTGCCTGAAAGTGTCTGGGGCTCAGGATGCTTCTCTCTGGCTACTCTACTAAGCTGAGGTGTTTGCTTTGCTCACATGGACAAAAGTAGCACCCTACTTCCATATTTCAGACAACAGGCTAGACAGTAGGGAAAGTTAAAGGGAAGGAAGCATACCTCTGCCATTTAAGGACCTACTCAGAAGCAAACACCACTTCCATTCACACCACATAGCTGTAAGGAAGAGCTGTAAATGCGTTTTGTTCTGAATACCGATGCATCTGGTTAAATCAGGAATGTCAATGGCCACACAGAAAGAAGGGGTAATGAGCATTAGTGTCGACTAGCAAATCTCTGCCACACTCCTCAGTACCTTCAGAATAAAGTCTTCTACTACCTGAATTTACTTTTCAAATATATTTCCTATACTACATTCTCAAATATCACTGGACACCAGCCAGTGGGACCAATCCTGGTCTACTCATTGTCTCTAACATCCCACATATCCTATGTCTTTTTGATTTTGCTCACATCATGGTTCTTTGCTGACATAACCTCATCTCCACAATTTCAACTTGTCCTCAACCTTGAAGTCCCAGCTCAGCAGCCGCCTATTACGTGAAGTTTCTCCTAACTACTCCAGTCCATAGCAATTCATTTTTCTTGGAGCCCAGCATTAATTTGTTACCATGACATCTAGATTGATGTGTGTATTTTCAATTTTATATTACTTTTTTTCCCTGAGACAGGATGTCACTCTGTCACCCAGGCTGGAGTGCACTGACACAATCTTGACTCACTGCAGCCTCTGCCACCAGGGCTTAAGTGATCCTCTCACTTCAGCCTCCTAAGTAGCAGAGACCACAGGCATGTGCCGTCACACCAGCGAATTTTTGGTTTTCTGGTAGAGACAGGGTTTCACCATGTTGCCCAGGCTGGTCTCAAAGTCTTGAACCCAATCAATTCTCCTGCCTCAGCCTTCCAAAGTGCCGGGATTACAGGCATGAGCCACCATGCCAGGCTACACAGCTCACTATGTTACCCAGGCTGGACCTCCTGATTTCCAGCAATCCATTCAGTTCCATCTCCCAAAGTACTTGAGCACAGGTGTGAGTCACTGGGTCCAGCTTTTTTTTTTCTTCTTTACTTGTCTTGGGAACAAACATCATGGTATTTTTTCCCACTCAGCATTTTGCATTGGTCTAGGCAATACATCTTATATCTACTCACTGTGTGTATAAATTAATATATGCCTGAATTATGAGACAGTTAAATTAATGAAAAGCCATTGCTTAAAATGATTCCAACAAGGCGAAACAGCTGTAAAGGAGGCCATCTGTTCTTCTTGACCGGGACAGGGAACACCGGGTTAGCATGGACTAAGTAGTCATTTATCTGTAAATGGTTGTAGATTACATCTGCAGAATGCATTTAAAGCTTAGTCAAATCTTATAAATGTCTGAGTGAACTATGAAATTGTACT